TGGTATAACATTGCTTTTGCTAATATATTTATGTCCTATCTTTGGTAAGAAATTTAACTGAACTTGCTTTTTTTTTTTGAAGAATTTTGACAAAAATATTTTCAATTGAACATTATTTGCAATAGAGGTTTTTTTGTGGACAGAACGTGACGGAAGTGAAAATTTTCATGAGGTGACAATGAGAATGGTGTATATTTCAAATCTAAATATATTAACGTGAGAAGAAAGCGCGATTCATTGTATTAAAAGCTGTACTCCAAATCTAAATACGTATATTAAACGTGAGAAGAAAGCGCGATTCATTGTATTAAAAGCTGTACGGAACTTTACTATATTTTAAAAAAAAATTCTTTAACGTGTTTAGTTAATACGGCATAACTCTCCGTTTTCACTTATGGAAAACTCGTAAAGGTCATAACGGCAGAAGGTAAAAATAATAAAGCAGCTATTTAATTGTAGATTTATAAATAATATATATATAATATAATTAATAAAATATTTATATATATGTTAATAGAAAGAATATACTGGCTACAAAAGGCAAAAAAACGGGTCAAAAAGTTGGAGTGTAGTATTTTTATCACACTAAATGAAGCATGTAAAGAGTATTACAATAGATCAAAATCGAAAACATTTATTGATTCTTTTAGTTAATGATCTAGCTTTGTGGATCTCTAATCATCTATTTTTCTCATGGAAAATCTAGAATGAATTTTTTAAGGTGGTTTTGATTAATTACTGTAGACTGTGAACAAATAAACGATTTTATTAGTTACTGTATACTACGAACGGAAATAAACTGTGTTGTACTTAATAATCATTCTCATTACCAAATTTTTTTTTACTATCTTTTTTTTATAAAAAAAAACTGGAAACCATACACCTCTAGATTTCCAGTGTGGAATATTCCCTATCGCTATGGTAATCGGGTAAAATGTGTTACGTACGTATTAAGGAACTAAATATATCAATTTACATACTGTATTTTCGATTCGTATTAAGAAACTAAACTTTTAAGTAACATCGCATAATTTATGTAAACAACTGTTTTTTTTATAATTTAGAGATTTTTTTTATGAACTTTTATTAATAAAAATTCGATTTCGTCATAATCCCACATTATCTTATATTTGATTGTAATAGTTTCATTATGTTTTTGTTTGGTAACACTGTTTATCGTTATGACTACTGTACAGTTGGGGTTATCAGTGCCAAATATTTTTTCACAGCAATGTATTGAATGCAAAGCCAACTATTAACATTTATATAGAATAATATCATACATAGTTATTCCTGGAAATACGAATGAAGAGGTATTTTTGAAATAGTGATAATAAAAATGCTGAAGTAATAAACTAAGCATCGAATGATATAAGTTAATAATAGAAGCATATCTTTATTGTTTTTTGCAGAACTCAAAGTAAAAATCGACTTTAGCTATGGCGCATACAAGATGCTGAATTGGGCTTAGCAAGTCAACATTGAATATGCAAATGGGCTTGGGTATAATTAAACAAACATCGTTTAGAGAGCTGATAATGTTTTACTTGTAGATTTTCTTTTCTGGTTAAATTACATAAAAGAAGGAAAAAAGGAACAAGGTAACAATACGAGCACAATGTTCAAAGAGTCCTTAAGTCAGTTTTGCCTATGGCTTGGAAGAGTCTTGTTTGGTATAACATTGCTTTTGCTAATATATTTATGTCCTATCTTTGGTAAGAAATTTAACTGAACTTGCTTTTTTTTTTGAAGAATTTTGACAAAAATATTTTCAATTGAACATTATTTGCATAGAATTTACGAAGATAGTGTATTTTCAAGTGAATTCGGATGCAATTATATTAAATAATCCTATTATTGAATTCATGTAGGTTATTATTATAATTTAATTCATGTATTTTTTCATAATCAACCTTTTCATCGACGAATTTTATCTTTCAGGTATTTAGCCCTATCAATTCCACTTCCAGGTAAGTTTTTAATTATTTTACTAATTTAGTTGTTAAGACATGATGTTAATATTTAATATTTTAGTTGGCCTGGTATGGTTGGGTGTATTTAAGCGTCGTTGTAGTATTCAACTTATAAGGGATAAGATAATAGAAGAATTATGGTACATTATTTTTAATTTTTAATCCAACCTTTTTTCTTGAATCTTATCATCTTATTTACTATACATTTTAAAAAATATTTTCTAGCTTTGTACCATTATACATGGTTGTAATTTCAGGTAAGTTTACCTAGATTTTTAAGTTATCC